AGTGATTATTATCCTTGCTTCGAGATCTTCAATGTACAAAAGCAGGGCATTTAACAAAACTATGGAGTTCTGCAAACCATGCAAGATTCTTAACTGTTAAATCTAGGGAGGCTGTTCAGATCAATGCAGTTATGCACATTGTAAAAGTAGCCACTGAACACGCACTCGCTCTTGCATGCATGCAACAAACTCACCACACATTTTTCTTCCCCTATGCAAGTTGGTGCCAAGACAAATGAAGTGGTTCTATAAATATGTGCCAGTTCCCTGCCACCAACACCAGAAGTTCACCACCAAAGGACTGCTCAGAAAGAACAGGCAAATATATTTCCATCAGCTTCTTGTACACTCACTAACTGATAGCATTGACTTATTTGCAGAGAAGGTATTTGTAAAAAGGGACAGGATTGTCAGGGAGGAATATCTGAATCATGTTTACACTTACAAGAAAAACAAACAGATATTGTTGCAGCCTTGCACTGCTTCCAAACTGTCATACCTTTTATGGGTATGATTCTGTGGTATACCCACAATTTTAGGTTACAGAACTGAAGTGGATTTAGCGTTCTTCTGCTCTTGGATTTAAAAAAAACCACTTTGCCAAAAATTGATTTATTTTTGTAGTAGGAAAAGTGATGGAGAAATGCGTTAGGAATTGTGGGATAATGGTGACATCGGGCAATATTATACAGTGGCACCTTGGTTCTCAAACGCCTTGGTACTCAAACAACTTGGAACCCAAACCCGGAAGTAAGTGTTCTGGTTGCGAACTTTTTTTGGAAGCCGAACGTACTCCATTTTGAGTGTTATGCTTTCAATTTGAGTGCCACACTTCTGTTTTGTGTGTTACGCTTCCATTTTGAATAGCACACTTCCATTTTGAGTGTGATGCTAGGGTATGTCTTTTTGCTATTTATTTTGTGTTTTTGTGGCTCTTGTTGTTTTGTTTTTGTGACTGTGTGGAACCCAATTCAACTACTGACTGATTGATTGTGTGACTGCAGTACGTTGTTTATTGCTTTCATTTTATCGGACAGACTGAGATTTCATTAACCTATAACAATTTAAATGCTTGCATGCAGAACTGCAGTAAAGTTACATATATTTGTTACCTCACATAGAGGGAAATTGGAACCATAGTGTTAAGGACAATGATGTAACCCCAAAAGTTAAAGAAGCCTCGGGTAGCAGGAGTCTCATCCTTCCCGTCATAGAGGTACCAAGAAGAATTGCCAATCTGCTGTTCCCAATAGGTGTGCCCAATAGCCAGGCCAGCTGACGCTAAGATGAGCAAAACGAAAATCTGGAGAAAAAAACATTAAGACGACAAAGCTTTGTAAAAGGTTAGCTGAAGCTCATGCATTTTTTTATCCTTTCCTGCATCCCAGACTAACTACCATGAAGAAGAATTAGCCATCAACTCGCTGATACTTGAGAAGAATAGAAACAGGAGTCACTGACAGATGAAGTAGAATTGTTTTATTTTCTGTTACGTATAGGCTACCAAGGCTGCTGCTCTCAAAGTGGCTCTTGGCTTGTTTTTTTCTTTTAAAAAAAGCCTCAAAAACCATTCAGCAATTATTTATTACATTTACACCCCACCCTTCCTCCCAAAGGAATCCCGGGCAGCGAACCCATGTGTGATAAAACAGTACCCTTGAGGACTCAGCTACATTGGTCAAAAAACAATGTTATAAACATGCAGCACCAGATGGCGCCAGAGAGCAAAAAAAAATCTATGCGATTAGCACATAGCATTTTTTTATTTTGTTATAACTTAATTTCTAACTTATTATAGCATTTTTTCCTGTGTGTAGATCCACTCTGAAAGTAAAGCAAAGCCATTAAAAAAACCGGAAGCATTTTTTAAAAAAAACCCCAAACAGCCATTAAAGTATTTAAACAAGTTTAAAAACAGTTGTACCCAAATCTTATGTCTGGATAGGTCCACTGAAACAAGAAAAGGTTTCAGCAAGCATCTAGAACAGTACAAGGAAAGCAACTTCCTAATGTCAATAGGCAGGGGGTTCCAGAGGACACTAAATGAGCGATCCTGTGCAAATGAGGAACCAAGGCTGTGAAGCAATTGTAAAGGTAAAGGTAAAGGGACCCCTGACCATTAGGTCCAGTCGTGACCAACTCTGGGGTTGCGGCGCTCATCTCGCTTTATTGGCTGAGGGAGCCGGCGTACAGCTTCCGGGTCATGTGGCCAGCATGACTAAGCCGCTTCTGGCGAACCAGAGCAGCGCACGGAAAATCCGTTTACCTTCCCACCAGAGCAGTACCTATTGATCTACTTGCACTTTGACGTGCTTTCGAACTGCTAGGTTGGCAGGAGCAGGGACCGAGCAACGGGAGCTCACCCCATCGCGGGGATTCGAACCACTGACCTTCTGATCGGCAAGTCCTAGGCTCTGTGGTTTAACCCACAGTGCCATCCGCGTCCCAATGCCAGTGCTTTTTTTTCGGGGGGGGGGGACACAGGGCTACACATACCCCTAAACATTTTGTGAATCTAAGTTTGGCCTCATTGAGGGGCCGTATTTCAATTTGAGTAGGAAAATGAGAGTACCCCTAAACACTTATTTATTTTTAGGGGGGAAAGCACTGCATAATGCTAAACCAGCCCCCCCATAGCTTGCTTCTGCCTTCCTTGAGAGGAGGGGGCAGGTATAAAGCGAAGTGCACCAGCATGCAGCTCAGGCACTGGTTAATTTCTCTAATTGTGATTTATGGCCAGTGTTACATGTGAATGCAGCGAAGCTAAGAAGCATCAGAGCACCTGATAAATCAATATCAACAGCCCAGACTATGACACATATAAAAGCAGACAAAATAGTACATCGGGAGACCAGAAGCAGAAAAGTACCGACATAAATACCAATTATAAGCAATGTGGAATGAAACAAAAAAAGTTCTTTAAGGCCCCTTTAGGAACCATCAGTGTAGGGACCATATGCATCGAACTGCTTAGGTCTTTAAAGATCCCGTATTTTTCGCTCTATAAGACGCACCCGTCTATAAGACACACCTAGTTTTAGAGGAGAACAAGAAAAAAAATATTCTCTCCCTCTCTGCACAGTGCCTCTCCAGGACTGAAGAGGCGCTGCGCAGAGAGGGAAAGCTGTGCAGCGCCTCTCCAGCGAAGCGAAGTCAGAACAGCAAGAGGGATCGCTGCGCACCGATTCCTCTCGCTCTCCTGGCTTCAGCGAAAGCAATGGAAAGCCTCCGGAGCACAGCGATAGGAGCGCTCCCGCTGCACTCTGGAGGCTTTGCGTGGCTATCCCTGAAGCCAGGAGAGTGAGAGGGATCGATGCGCACCAATCCCTCTCGCTCTCCTGGCTTCAGGGATAGCTGCGAAGCCTGCATTCGCTCCGTAAGATGCACACACATTTTCCCTTACTTTTTAGGAGGAGAAAAGTGCATCTTATAGAGCAAAAAATACAGTAACCACCAGCAGTTGGGCCAAGGAGCAAATTGACAATCCAGTGCCGCTGATAGGAAATCAGTTGTGTGTTCTAACTGCCCAGCTACCCAAAGCAGCCAAGCAGCCACATGCTGCGCTAAGTACCCCAACCTGATGCTTCTAGATATTGCTAGTTTACAATCTGCATTGTCTTTTACCATTGGCTATTCTGAATGGGGCTTGATGAGAACTGCAGTCCAACAACATCTGGAGGGCACCAGGTTGGCGAATGCAGCTCCACAACAACCCATAGCTGTCAATTTACAGATTCGAAAATAAGGGATCAGCAGCCAAAATAAGGGATTTTCAGAGCACAGGTATGCTCAACTTCTGAGCCCCTCCGAGCCAAAGGCAGAAAGCCCAGCCAGCAGCCAAACGAAGCCTCAAGTGGTGGTTCCCACAGTACAGCAACCCGGCAAAGGGGATGCAGCAAGGAAAAACCACCGTCACCTCTCCACTGGGAAGCGCTGAGCAAAGGCGAGTCCCCAGGCAACGCGGCCAATTTGATCGGCACAAGGCATGCAAGCTCCACCCCGCAGTCGTTCTTAGACTCCTTATTGGGTGAGCAATGCAGCCAAGCAACACAGTTGGAGCCTCCCTCCTCCCTGGCCGGCAGGGAGGGAGGGAGAGGAGCTGCTTCTTTTGAAACCCGGGAAATTTAAGAGACATCATCAATAAGGGACAGCAGCGGGACACAGTGCTGGGATAAGGGACTTTCCCACCAAATAAGGGACAGTTGACAGCTATGCACCAACCGGAGCTTCCAAACCATCTTTAAAAGCTGCCCACGCTGCAGAACTATAGTTTGGATATAGCCAGCAGCAAGTATCTGTGGCAAAACCTGTTTCTCCAGGTAAGGTGTTTTTTTTTAAATGCCGGCCGTGACCCTAACAAAGCACATAAGGTGAAATGCTTAAGAGTTGCCTAATGGGAAAGCCAAACCTGCAGATCTCTGCATGACACTTCTATGTGTTTGCAAGTCCTGGCCTCTCTCTACCTGCCTCACTCACAGAAAACCATCCACCCACACAAACTTCAGTATGGAAGCAAGCAGGAAGCCTTTGCAGAGCCTGTGCTAGGTACACAAATGACTCTGTCAATAAGCAAAAGAAATATTTAATTTGCACAGAACTGCAAGCTAGCGATCAGTAAAGAGCTACAGCTCCTGTAAGCTCTAAAAGCAAAAAGCAAACACAAAACTTCTTACCGTATAAACCATGTAATTCATAAGGGAGTCAATTTTAGTCCTTTTAAACCGTGTTTTCCCACTGTTTTTCATTATTTTTGTGTCTGCTCCTAAAATCATATTAAAAACTGCAGTGTAAATGTCACTGAATTTTAAACAAATATGAATACTTTAAAACTGCTTTCTTAACGGCTAAAGACAACCATGAACATGAATAATTTAAAATAATATAAGTACATTTGATTATCTCTCATAATTTTCGTGAGGGAGAAGGATCCATCAAACACAATGAGTCTTACTTCTAAGTAGAAATGTATAAACTCGTGTTGTTAATATAGTGGCAACTCTAACAAGTGACTTTTTTTTTTTAAAGCTGCTTTTCCTGTTTCCGAAAACAGCTGAATCTCCCAGGCGCAATACACTTTCATACGAATATTCCTCTCGTGCAAAAGTGTGTATTGTGTGGCTTGTGTAGAGGTGTGGGGAGGATTCTAATACATTTTGGGGTATCTCTTCGCATGAATATGCAAGTAATATCCTTTTCTTAGTTTTTTTAAAAAAGACCTTACTGATGCTTCCATTAGTTTGGCTTCTCACAAGAACCTATGGGCATTCCAGTCTAAAGTGGAATGCCCCATGGGAAAGATGCAAGCTTCAACAAGCCTTTTGTATTTTATTTTATTTTTAAAAAACCACTCACTACCTTGTGTTAAGGTAAAAAGACCTCCCTTCCCCAAATAATTTCATCCCTGTCTGAATCAATCTGTGGATGGGGCTTTACATACCCCACAAGTGTCCCAGAAAAACCAGGACATCCCATTTCCCCCCACAAGATCTCGGCAGCCGTTTTGGGTGCCATAATCTCACATGACTTCTTGGCCAAGATCTTGCCCCTGCAACCCAAAAAAACACTTTTTTGGAGCAGCGATCTCACGCAGCACCCCAAAACACATTTTTGGGGCTCCATGATCCCTCACAGGTCACATGACTTGTGTGGGAGCACATACGGGCTTGTCTCAGTTTTGGGACTCAACATGTTGGAGGGTATGGCATTAGGTGAAGGAGAAGGTTTTGGGCTCGGGCTCCAACAACTCCAAGCTGGGCTAAGAAAGACTCTTACATTCAGCCCTGCCAATCAATGTCAACAATTACACCCCAACCGCATGAAATAATAATAATAAAAAAGAAAAAAGCTGGGGTTATTGCATTGGTCCAGCTCTAATTTAAACATGCAGCAGCAGCATTCCATTTCCAAAACAGATACCTGCAAATATGACAAGCCCGTGACAAACGTCAGTGTTCCGGATTTTGCAGCCACGCAACAAGATTTTATCAGCATCCAAAGCATAGCTTTTTCCTTTCCACTTCAAAGTCCCTGTGAATTTATCGAGTCGGTTGTTGGGCTCTTCGCATTCTATCAAACCTGGTGGTGATAGTTCAAAAAAAGAACAAGGAGGAGAGGGGGAAAAGACCATGTCACAAGAATGTATTAAAACATTTTCACAGTAAGCCATTCTCTTTAAATATTAAGCAATGAATTCTGCAAAAGTACAATATTTAAAAGGAGATGTTTGAAGGAACAACACCCCTAAGCTTCCTACTGCGTCAACTGTGGCAGAAATGCACTGCAACTTTTACATAAAGTTATGCACCACTTGTAGAGTTGGTCTCTGTGGCAGAAATGTTTCAGGGGATGAGGTTAAGATGGCATTTGGAAGTGAAGTAAAAAACATACAGGCACAAATGAGGCAGCAGATCAATAATCAAGAAAAAAGGAAACTCACTGATTGCAGTTCCCTTTTAGCCTACGGTGAATAAGTCTGCAATACATTTATAGTAAGACAATTTAAGGAGACCTCTCAGTAACTATTGAGGAGGTTTGGATGACCATGTTATAAAGCAATATATATATATATATATATATATATATATATATGCATATGCATCTGTATCTGACTGGAATGTAATCAAATGCTTGAAGTGCTTCTACACACGAGATAAATGGAAACTATGGAGTAATCACAAGCAATGGCAAATATGGGGACCTGTGGCCCTCCAGATGTTGCAGGACTACAATTCTCACCATCCTTGACCATTCACCATGCTGGTTGGGAATGATGGGAGTTGGAGTCCCTAATCATTGGAGAGCTTCATTGTGACAGACACGTCAAGCTTGTAATAAGAGGGAATTATTTGACCTGAAATGCTACACAAGCATTAAGGTGCATAACACGAAAGCTTTCTTATACCTGCAATTTTCAGATCACAAAACACTGGGGGTCATTTAAGCGAATCCTTTTCTGCCTCCCCCTCAAAAACAACCCCCAACCCTGAATGACTACCCTTGTGTGAAAACTACTACAGATATAGCTCTGAATTTTGTCAGGGTTCATGCCTTCAGAAGGGGCAATCTTGCCTGAAAATTTCATCCAATTATTTCCAATAATAATAAAAAAACCACAGGCAGTTCCTGTTTGGGAGGAAAAACAACACATTTTAGGAGTGTCCAGAACAAAAACCCCTGCCCCTATTTGCCTGGAATTTAGCAGGCTGCATCCAGTGAGAAGAGAACTACGTCTGCAGATGTCATTCACTTCTGTCAGAAAGGGGAAAATTTTATAGCAATTGTTTAGTTTCCCAACCATGAATGGGGTGGAAATTAAGCCAGACTCAGATGGACTGCAAGCCAAATTGGGCAGCCTATGACAGTGATGGCCAAACTTGGCCCTCCAGCTGTTTTGGGACTACAACTCCCATCACCCCTAGCTAACAGGACCAGTGGTCAGGGGTGATGGGAACTGTAGTCCCAAAACAGCTGGAGGGCCAAGTCTGGCCATCACTGGCCTATGAGGTAACTCAGACTGAGATCAGCTGTTTTCCAAAGTGCTGAATTGGGTGCCAAACCAACTTGTACCGTCTTGTGCACATCCTGTTGTTTATTTATAGGTCACCTTTCAGGGCGACCTGCTTCAAAGTGGCTCACAACATATTAAAACACAAAACAGTCCAAGCCATAAAAACCATAGTATAAACACAAAATGTCTAAAAATATAACAGCAACAGCAATTGAAAACAGCGTCAGCAGAATAAAAACAGACCCAAACTTTTTCAAAAGCTGACTAGATGTTTTCCCCCTCCCCCTTAAGGCTTTTGTGTTCTTTTGAAAACCGGTAGAAAAGGTGCAAACATATATCTTTGGGAAGAGACTTCTAAAGTGATGGCCCCACTGCAGTCAGGCCCCATGAAGACATGACTCTGCCATCAGCTTAAGACTGTTCATCTACCTAGCCTAGTGCTGCTGACTATGACTAAAGGGTGATATAATAATAATAATAATAATTTATTTATACCCCACCCATCTGGCTGAGTTTCCCCAGCCACTCTGGGCGGCTTCCAACAAAGTATTAAAATACAGTAGTCTGTTAAACATTAAAAGCTTCCCTAAAGAGGGCTGCCTTCAGATGTCTTCTAAAAGTCTGGTAGTTGTTCTTCTCTTTGACATCTGGTGGGGGGGGGCATTCCACAGGGCAGGTGCCACTACCGAGAAGGCATTTGGGGCAGCAAGTGGCAAAGCCTTTGCTGAAACAGTCATCTCCCAGGATAGGCGCACAGCACCGGTGAACAAGGAGGAAGAGATGACACAACCTTGCTTCCCCCACCGCTCACAGGAGAGCAATCAGGAAAGAGTATTGTGCAAACCAGGCTTTTGTTTTTGAAAGAGACTGGCTTTCCCCTCTTTTTGTAACTTCAACAGCATTAGGTACTTGCAGCTCATTAGTAAAGCACAGGCCTAAGCGTGCACAGTTCTCAGTTGAAATCACTAGCTGGGAAAGTCTCCGTTTGCAAACCTGGAGACCTGCTGCTGGACCATCCTGCATTAGTTGGTCCAGTGTCTTGACTTGGCATAAGACAGCATATTCGTATGTAATTAAGAAGAAATGCACATTTGTACAAACCATCAAAAGCTGCCAAGGCGCTCTCTTGGTGAAGGTATCTGTCAGTCACCTCCAGAGACATCTTGAACTTCAAGTTGGTTTCACTGAAGCACAGGAGGGAAATGCAAAGTTGTAATGTTGCAAATTCTATAGGGACAATGGGCCATTAGAAATAGTACTTAAAAGGAACCTTAGCTTAGCTTTCTGTTCTAGTGTTCTGCGGGTTTCTAACAAAACAGCAGCTGAACAACACGCAAAGCAAACAAAAATGGCAAAACCCCTGGGGCTCCAAAGAGAGCAACAAGATGTGCGTTGTCACACGGTGTTCTTTGCTACCGAAGTATGAGAACACACAGTGGTGCGTGTCCATTTGGGTCAATCAGATGATGGTGCTATAAAATGTTAATCCCAACAGGGCAGAACAGGTTTGCCTAACACATTTGTTGCACATCAATTTTATTAAGCACCGCTTGGGGAAGCTACCTGGAGCCTGCTTAGACATGCAAGAAGGCCTTTTCTTCATTTCTTTGATCACAACGGGAGAATATGCACTGCACCATGATTACAGAAGCAGAAGGGGGAAATGGCTGTATGAAGCCAGGACCACAGAAATGGCTGCACCTGTCCCTGTGTAAGCCCCTTATCATTCAGGCTAATTTCTCTCTCTATGGTCAAGTATTCCTGCAAATGCTGAAGGTCAGTTGGCCATCTGCATTGCAGGGGATTGGACTAGATGGTCTCTTTCAACTCTGTAATTCTATGATTCAAAACAACAGAGCCAATTAATAGTTTTTATCCTTCAGTAGAAGGAGTTATCAGTAGCAGCCCTGGCCATGGTGAGCCATGCCCTACAAAAAGCACAATTTATACAATGGCTCGATGGATAAGACTATATTTGGTTAGGTCTGAGTGTCATGTCACTCAGCTAGATCCAAAACAGACAACCTCCCAGGATGTAATGGTAAAGAATAGCCCCACCTCTGCTCTTGCTATTCACAGAAATCAATATTTATATACAGTAGTGCCTTGGTTCTTGAACAGCTTGGCTCCTGAAGAAATCGGCTCCCGAATGCCGCAAACCCAGAAGTAAGTGTTCCAGTTTGCGAACGTTTTTTGGAAGTCAAATGTCCAACGTGGCTTCCGCTTGAGTGCAGGAAGGTCATGCAGCCAATTAGAAGCCACGCCTTGGTTTTCGAATGGTTCTGGGAGTCAAACAGACTCCCGGAATGGATTAAGTTCAAGAACCAAAGTACCACTGTACAACCTAATTAAGTTTAAGAGCAGTATTTCCTTATCCTATGCACGTTGGGTCAAAATGTGCTTTTCTGAATCCACGCAACCTTAAAATGGACAGAGCAAGTTTTAAAACACAGCACCAGAAAAAAAACATGTTGACTGGGAATTTAGCATGGCTAAGGCTACAAACAAGAATAACTTTTTAATATTACGGGGAGGTAAACGTTAGGAGAAAGAACCCTTACCCGTCTAGTTCAGCTGTCTCTACATAGCAAAGGCTATTAGGTTCTGAAGTGGACAGCAGCAGGATATCAGCCTGATTAAATAAAGAATAAAGAAAATTAAATGCATGTGAATGATACTGCTGTCACACTGCAAAAAAAAAATCTATCTCTCTCTCTCTCTCTCTCTCTCTCACACACACACACACACACACACACACACACAAAAGCACAGCATTTCACTTACAGGAATAAAGGCATTTTTCCTAAGACGGATGATATCACCAACTTTAATGTCCTTCCATTTTGTATTTTCGAACCTGAAGTAGCGAGAAATAATATATTTAAAAAGTGATCTGGATAACATTTAGGAAAAAGGCTGAATGTTCTCAAAGAATATACGCCATTTCTTCTAGGTAATATTAACTAATAATATTTCAACCCTCTCAGTTTCTGTCTGTGCAGAAAGTTATTAAAAACAGCCATGCTAACTTTCCACAGAAAATCTTTTCGAAACATGTATGATTAGTGCAGTGTGATAGCTGTTCTGACAGACAATTGTTAAGGTGACACCTATAGAACCACACCTGCCGTCCTTGATTACATCACACGTGCGGTTGTTAATTTCATTGTCCATCCGATGCCGAGCCTAAAAAAAAGGAAGAAGAAGGGAAAGAGATTAAAAGAACCTATATCGTTGTTGCTGTCGTCTTAAAGCACAGCTGGGCAACCTATACGAGGCCCTCAGACTCCTTCAGCACAGCTCCTTGAGCCCAGAAGAATGAATGGAGTTGGAATGAAGGAGTGTGTGTTTAGAACCCCAATACCTTACAGAACATCAACTTCTAAGTGTGCATTCCCATGTCCCAGCACCAGAGGCCTTCTCTATTCCCCACACCCCCTAGGAACTATCCAGGGGATGGCAACAAGGGAATTGGCTCGTATTCTCCCCCCTCGTCTACAGAATTCTCCCCCCCAGAGAGCCTCGCCTGGCACCAACACTGACATCTTTTCAGTACCAGCCAAAGAAGTTTATCTTCTCCCATAGTGGTGTTTGGTTTTGCTTTGCTATCTGTGGTGGACAGGGAATGGGTTGTTCGTATGGTTTGATCTCCTCCTGCTTTGCTTTCAATTAATGTGCATGTTACTATTATTTGTAAGATTATTATTTTTTAAGATGTTTGTGTAAAGTGGCTACTAAACTTAAGAAACAGCAATAATCATCCGTTCTATTTTGAATGAACAAAATTAAGCTTTGTACATTCCTTGATAGGTCAGAAGGCAAAGAATGGGAAGTCCCAATTGTGACAAATAATCATGCTAGGAACAAAGGTTCATTCTTTGGGGTGACACAAACACAATCCTCTCTTCTATGTATTTGTTGCAGGTCACCAATTGGCCTGTTGTTACAATTATAATTAGTCATTCACCCTTTTTGTTATTTGGTTCAGGAAGGTTTCTTGTGACAATTCTTTTTGCTACCCCAATATAATGCTGGGGCGAGGGGGGGGAAACACCCTGAAATATAAAAATAGGAAGAATACATAAATAAATAAATAAAACAATTCTTACGATATCATCCACTAGGTCTTTTATCGCAGTGATGCCGAGAACCAAGAGTAAAGGTATCAGAGTTGTATACCATGAGAGGGTGGTTATCTGAGGAATGCACTGCAAGAAAAAAAAATAGGAATATTTATTTATGTATTTATTATTTTTGAAATTCAAAAAAAAAACCTACTACCCTGCATTTACATCCAAGGTGTTTTACACATCTGTAGACGCCATATCTCAGTAGTAGACCACATGGCTTTGCATATACAATTTTTCACACAGTAAATATCTTTGAGCTGTTAACTCTGCTTGCCTGGCACCATGGGGAGTCCTGTCCCCCCCCCTCCACTAAGGTACGTTTTGAAAAGCAGCAATGGTCAGAAGAAGAACTGCGCCAGCAAGTCAACAGGCAGGTGTAATGGGAGAGCAGAGCATGCTGTTAACCGAGACAAGCTTGCATCTACATGTTAAGCTCAAAACCAGTTCCAGCATCACAGCTGATCCTCCAGGAATGAATGGAATTGCAGTTACGCAGGGAGGAGGACTTTGAAAGGTCTAAGCTGGAGAGCCATTGTTCTCCCAAGTCAGGGTGGAGTGATTCTCTGAGCCCTAACACCTACATGCTCCATCGTTCATGCACTAAAATAATAAATTTAAAATTCAATCAACCCAGATATCCTCTTTGACCATTTCCTACTGATACTGGTACCTGACTTTCCCAACCCTTCAGCTTCAATAGGCTCAGCTGCAGGAGGAAAGGCAGATTTAGGGGAGAACAACCAGTTCAGTCGCACTGGGTCTTGGGGTCACTGCTGGGGGCACCATAACTACGATTCAGAATGAAGAGCAATAGGTGGAGGGGTGCTGAATTTTGGCATCACACAGGGTGCTGCTGAAATTTGAGACCCCGAGATCCGCCACCTATGAAGAGTTGTACTTCGTCGCACACCTGCTTTAAATGGGGCACAAAGGGGTGGGGGACCCAGTCTCCACAATGAATTATACAGTCCTGTTTTACCTGTAAAATAAGTAGAACCAAGAAATAGAAGTTGGCGACCCTTTTAAACTGCTCAAATAAATTCAGTGGCAAGAAGGTAATGGGATTATACTTGTAGGTTTTGATTGCATTCCCCTGTGGAAGAAGACAAAGAAGCAAATTACAGAAAAAGCATTAAAGATACTAACAAGGTAGCATTTCATGCGAAACGTTATCATTTAGTGAAATCATCCTTCAGTTAGGCAAGTGCATTATAGTTTTCCCACTAGTAACCACCTTGAACAAGTCGTATGAAACGGATATGGGGGGTGTTCATGTTCTGTGAAAAGGTGTAACCCGTGGGTAGGCAAACTAAGGCCCGGGGGCCGGATCCGGCCCAATCGCCTTCTAAATCCAGTCCACAGACGGTCTGGGAATCAGCATGTTTTTACATGAGTAGAATGTGTCCTTTTATTTAAAATGCATCTCTGGGTTATTTGTGGGACATAGGAATTGGTTCATTTCCCCCCAAAAATATGATCCAGCCCCCCACAAGGTCTGAGGGACAGTGGACCGGCCCCCTGCTGAAAAGGTTTGCTGACCCCTGGTGTAACCCATTTCATGTTATCAAAGAGTTTGGTTTTGTGCTTTAAAGAGTGCTAAAACAAGGCATTAACCCCCCCCCCCGAAAACCTGCAGGAACTTTTTCCTCCAGGTCAGGTGTTGAATTGGAATGGATGAAGGATAAGGAACTTGTGGTTCTCTAGATACTATTAGACTCCAACTCCCATCAGTCCTATCTAGGGCCAATACTCAGGGATGATGGGGATGATGATGTACTCCAGTAATGACAACCAACCAACCACGACTAGTTGATCCCTGGACTAGGTGAAGGTCCCCTTCAACACCATGATTTTAAATCCACTTACTGCATATTTACTTTTCTTAAGGCACAGATAAGTCGTTTTCATAAATTGGGGCTCTTCATAGAAGGCACGATCATTTGCTTTAACTTGCCAGCCGCATTCTGAAAAACAAAACAAAAGAATGAAAACCATAAAGTGTGATCATCATGAACTTAATAATCAAGTGACTGAAAGCAGGAAATTTATTAACTCCCACTGGCATATGAAGGCTAGAATGGTTAGGACCCCCATCCCGCGTCCCAGTTAGCAGTCTTAGCATACCCAAGATCAAAAAGAAACTACAAATGCAACAAAGATGAGCAGAGGAACAAATGTTCCCCTTTTAAACATTTACTCCTTGTTCAAAGAATTAACAGAACAAGGGAACCCGAAGGAATTCCAAACAACTTCCCTTGATTTGCATAATTTCAAAACTACCTACAAGCTGCTAACTTTTGCTTCCGCTAAGGCAGAAGTGGGAGAACAAGTTAGCCGTGAGAGAGAGAAATAAGCTTTACTACCGGAATGACCTTGGGGAGAACATCCCAGGTAAATACAATGCAATTTGTGGTGATGTCAACCGTTTGTCTTTTAGAAAATTAGCAAAGAACAGACTGGAAATCTCACTTAAAGGTTATCCTTATGACTCATCTACTGGTGGATCCAGAGGAGAGGAAAGTAAATTTACTGCCACAACTGTTTTTATTCATCTCAGACCTACTTTTCACATCAGCATGTAGAGCAGGCTTCCTCAAACTCGGCCCTCCAGATGTTTTGAGACTACAATTCCCATCATCCCCAACCACTGGTCTTGCTAGCTAGGGATCATGGGAGTTGTAGGCCAAAAGCATCTGGAGGGCCGAGGTTGAGGAAGCCTGGTGTAGAGCCAATGGCAGGGTGGATAAAAATAAATGATTTTTTTAAATAAAAAAAATGGATTTTTAAAAAAATTATATTGGATTTTTTAAAATAAAATGCTTTCGGAGGAAAAATCTTTCTAAAGACAGTTTTCTATTTAACTAACATTATAGTCCTTCAGGAAATAAGGATTTGTTTTCAAATGTTGCATGAGGCTTTATATGCAATGTTTTAATTTTTTGGTAAATGAATTCCATTAATCCATTCACAATGTCATGCTCTTCCAGAGGTTTCTGTAAGATTATTTGGGGCAGTTTTTCTAACAAGAAGCTATTATCACAGATGCTTGTTTTTTTCAGTTTTCAAAAGTGTGAATTTGCATCTGCAGAGATAACGTGCCTTTTCTGCACAGGAAAAATGTTGTAAAATAAACATACACAGAGTTGAGTGGGGGGGGACCTTAATCCCATTGTTCCGCTGCAAATTTATATACACAGAATCAGCCCCTCTTAAATACTAAGTTCCAAGAGGTTCAATGAATAGATTGTTTGGAGTGGAACAGATCTGCACAAGTAGCTAAGTAAGAAGCAGTAAAAATGAAAGCGCAACCTTGTGAGCAGAATACTCCACAATTCTTGAGATCTTTGTGTAATAATTGTGCGAGTCAGTTGCATGTCTGTGCAACTCAGACTTTGGCAAGTGCTGAAGCCACTTCAGGGCTGGCAACCTCTTCCCAATCCCACTGGGTTCCAACAACTGCACTAACACTAACTGTACAGAATAGGCACCTGAATGTAGAAGCAAATAGGGGTGTGTGTGTAAATAGTAACTGGGATCTGTAAGTCCTTGGGAAGACCTTGAAGTGCTTGCCAGTCAACTAATAAGAGTTCGCTGGTTCCAGGCCCTTCTTCTCATTTGTAAATATTAAGATTATACCAGCAAGAATGAGTCTTCCTGTTTAAAAAAAATATGATTTAAATCAAGTCTTACTGACTTAAATTGTGATTCAAATCAATTTGATTTAAATCAAATGCACCCTGGCTATTAGTTTATGCATAAATGCCCCATAGAGTGTGTGCCAAGCTTGTGTGAATGCACTGTTTGTGTCAAATTGCACCCTGAGCCTGATAGCATATACCCCTTCAAAATCTACATGGCAAAGTCCTGAAATTATGATTATGGGAATATCCATCACCACCACCCCACAGACAAAAACTGGCAGCGAATAGTTGTAGTTCTGGGGATTCTCAGCATTTACTGGAAGACATTTCAGAACTGCAGCTGTTATCTTTGCTGAGTTTTCTCATTGAGAAGTGGGCTACTCCATCTAAGCAGAAACGAATTATGTATTTTTGGAAGTACATTGCATATTCTAGGGGGATTTTTCTGGAGTGCCAGAAAAACTAAGTTAATAAAAGTAGAGAAAGCCTGACTCCCTCCTCTGGCAACCTGCACAGAATTTTGCTTAATCGGTTGCCATCAATTTGATTTTAATTAATTTTTATAATGAAATATTTTTAGAATGTGTGATTATTTGACTGTTTGATTATTTGATTGTTGTTAGCCGCCCTGAGCCCGGCTTCGGCTGGGGAGGGCGGGATATAAATAAAATTTATTATTATTATTATTATTATTATTATTATTATTATTATTATTTAAAATGTGGTGGTTTATGAGGGTTAAAAGAAGGGGGAAGTTGGGAAATAGTTTGGACAAGGATTGTTTATATGCTATTGTAAAATATATAGGAAGTTAAATGTTGCAACCTATTTATTTCATACTTTCATGCATAGATTTATACTCCTCGTTTTATATTTGTAAGATAGACTATTAGTTTTCTCTGCATCCATATCTTATCTTGATTATATTACTGTGCATTCTTGTATATTTATAGTATACTTTATATGTACAAATAAAATAAAAATAAGAAAGCCCATGCATAAAATGTGGCTTGTGCGTTTTCAGCCAGTTGTTTAGAGGATATGGCCAAATAAATTTCATTTTAAACAGGCTTATGCCACTTCCAAACCACGTTGATAGTTTCCCTGTTGGATCAATCTAGGAATGACCCTGTGGTGTTTTGGAAACTGAACAGTAAAAACATAACGCTCAGAGTAATTGCTTCCGACGAAGCTGGCTGTTGGAAGATTTAGGACAGTCAAAAGAAAGTACTTCATACGGTGCAGTGATGGCCAGGGCTGGCCCAATACATTTTGCCACCCAAAGCAAACCACAAAATGGAACCCACCACCACCACACCAGGGAAGAAGGGGTGAGTGAAGATCTCCATCAGAAACTAGTTGGGAAACTCAAATCAGCCTTACTCAATGGTCAAATGGAAATCAAAGGCCATTGCAATGAGGAAAATGGACCCACTCTGAATCTTGTTGGGTAGGTGCACAGCCCAGGAGACCCCAGAGGGCAGCGCCCACCATTTCCTTCCTAGGGGGTGGGAGTAGACCAGCCGTATCTCCTATTCTCCAAGAGGCCACTGTGGGGGCAGCATTGGAGGGGGAGTCAGCCAAGGAGGTGGCAAATTCCACTTCCAAGGAGTGGGCCCGGCTATTGCTGCCACAGTGGAAGCAAGAGCAGCAGACGAAGACTTCCTTGGAGATCCTCCTGTGGATCACCTTGCCTCTTGTGTGGGCCGGCCCCAGTGATGGACACCAACTTGGATTGCTTTAAAAGAGGATTAGCCAAATTCATGGAGAATAAGGCTATCAGTGGCTGCTAGCTATGTTCTGTCTGCTAGCTATACTAGTTAGTGGGGGTGCCACAAGTGGGGAGAGTCCTGCCACACTCAGGCCCTGCTTCCCATTGACATCTGGTTGGCCATTCCACACAGAACTGAATGGGCCTTTGACGTGATCCAGCACGGCTCACCTTACATTCCCCTTCCGGAATCACTCACCTTTTCTAAGCGTATCTCGAGTCACTTCCACCTCTCTGTTGATGCGGTTTTGCTCTGGCTCGACAGGAGGCGGAACGTCCAATTCATCCTCTGTCTCATCATCGCTATATGGCACCTCTTCGTCGTTTGGTTGGGAGTCCTCGTCAAAGGTAGTTTCCGAATCTCTTTCCGAATTCATCCTCCTAGCCGTTCCTAAAGCCGGAAATGAAAGCAAACCCGAGTTCAGCCTAGCAGGATAGGCACAGGATACAGCCCCACCCACTCCCCTGAGAGACTTTGCAAGCTGGAACAAAGTTCCCTTAGCACCACTTAAAAATAATAATAAAAGGCATTAATTTTTTCTGAATCTCAGTCATGCATTTGTTTTCAGTTACCTGTCTCCTGAAGTGGTTGAAGTCTCTCACCTAAGACATAGTCCCTGGTAACAGATTAAACTGCCAAAGGAAGTTGGGCTGAGAGTTCTGTAGTCTTGTGCAAATACACCAGGGAGTTTACAGGCAGTAAAATGTAATGTGGGTGGTGGGGAAACGTTAAAGGATCATTTTCTAAGTGAATAGGTACGGCTAAAAACTTCATGTATTCCAGCCTTGATTGTTCTTGGCTCACGGTGCTAGCAGACAATCAAGCTCAAGGTGGACTACTGAGGGGAGGGCGTATACCGTATTTTTCGCTCCATAAGACGCACTTTTTCCCTCCTAAAAAGTAAGGGGAAATGTGTGTGCGTCAGGCAGGAAAAGCCCCCAAGAACCGCACACAAGCTCCACGCGGCTCTTGCGGGCTTTTCCCCAGGAGGGAGAAGGGACTGACACGGCCAGTCAGTCCCTTCTCCCTCCTTGTAGAAAAGCCCGCAGGAGCCGCGCGCTCCTTAAAGGGTGTGCAGCTCCTGTGGGCTTTTGCGGGAAGTGGTGGTATTGCCATAGCCACACGCAGCCCCTCCGGCCGGGAGAGGCTGCGCGCGGCTATGGCTTCTTCTGGGGGGGGGCGGGCTTCCCCCAGCAGCTCCAGAAGCTCTGGGAGAAGCGGACAGCTTTTCCCCCCCTTGATTTCCCCCTCTAAAAACTAGGTGCGCCTTATGGAGCGAAAAATACGGTACTTTACATCCAAAGGGAAGTCAATTCACCCATCAAATTCCTTTCAAAGAGCCAGAGGGTTTTAGCTGCTTCCATATACATGAGCAACACACATGCTTCCCAGGCATTAGATCATGGGTGGTGAAGATCCTGTGCCCTTACAGAGGACGTTGGACTCCAACTCGCATCAGCTCCCAGCCATGATGGCTCATAGTCAGGGATGATGGGAACTGAACCCCAGAAACATCTGGAGGGCCACAGATTCTTTATCCCTGCAACAGGACTTCCATTTGAACTATCAGAGAAAGGAGGGAAATCAGCCTGGATGTGCACATCTGCCACAGTGTCAACAGTTGCCCAAATTTGATAGTGATTTCAAGGATTCAAAATGGTCCACATGCACTATACAGTTGTTGTAAACAAAGCTGTTGTCTTATTATCTCCTGTATTAAAGATGAGGAGGACTGAGGCAGAAAGAGAGAGAGAGAGAGAGAGAGAGCAGGGTGCCTAGTGAGTTCACAGCAGATGTTAAAATTTGATCCATTGCTCTGGTTCTTCACCTACCCTACACTGGGATTTCTGCACTCATCCCTTTTTAGCCATCATCCTCATGGCAAATTTAAACACATCAGAAGTAGTGTACTGATAAAATGCAGCTAAAATCCATAAAACCAATGAAAAACAACAACAACCTTGGGGACAGAGATACTGTAACTTTTTTAACAAATGTAGGCAACTGAAAGATGTGCTTTCAAAAACAAAAAGGTGTAACTGTCAGATTGCCTTAAGCTTCAGACAACTTCCAGTTAAGCCATTTTAATCATGTTGAAAGGTCAGATTTATCTGTAGCTCCAACCTGATACAGGCAGAGTTATACATACAGCATTTGTTTCCCCAACCCTGCACACAGGCAAAGACAATATCTGCATCCTGCAAATATACCTTTATTCTCTCATTCACTTGGAGACGCAAATTTAGTTAACCAATGCATTAAAACTCAAATGTTTAACAAACCTTTTTTTCAACAAGTGGCAGGATCTAATAAAATTACCACATGCTTCTATCCTGCATGTGTACAAAGGCTGGACAGCTATCCGTCAGAGACGCTGGAGCTGCAGTTGGCATTACAGAACCTGCATTGCAAGGGGGCTCAGCTGGATGACCTCTGAGTACACATTTTCATCTCTATGATAAAGGATCATTTGCCTAAGGCACAACCCTTCTGCCAAACGTAGCTTGCACTCAGTCCCCAGAAAACTCCTTAGAATGAGGTGTGCAATTATGCAGCCATCTCTTATCAGTACAGCAACTGAATACTAAAAAGCAGGCCTTTGAAGAATATGTTATTAAATAAAATTTCTGTGTATTTGTGTGTGGAAATGAATAATAAAAGGGAGAAAGCTCACATATGTGCTTCAGAGATGACAATAAAGGCAATTGTCCAATAAAACACAACAGCACAAAGAAGGGCACCTCTAATAGACCGTTTTGTTTCTTCTTAACGAAGCCTAACAGAACAGAATATGTTGTATTGTGAAGTATGACTACAATCCTTCTCTCTCAGGGGAACTGAACAATGGTTTCGCAGCAGAAAGTTGCAATTTAAAGAAGCTTTACCCTCTGCCAATACCAAACATTACACCCCACCCCACAAACTGATTGACTGATGATTTAATTTGTATACTGTTAATATAAGCAGTACGCAGAAAACTGAAACAACAACATTGCAAAGAAGTTACAAAGCATATGAAAATCAACATCAATTCATTTTCCTTCTGGCACACCCTCTTCCTCTCAGCCTCTGGGTTCTCTCCTAGGGCCCAAACAAACTCTCAGCTCATCCACAAAAGTCTCACAATAAGAGTTCCTGGAAATAGTCTCCCTAGTCTTTCACTCCAGACTTGCATTTTACAGACTGGCCCAAGGTGGATGGTACATCCTCAGGCTGCCCACAGTTGTGTCCCATTCAGTTCCCCTCTCCACACCCAGTTCCAGGTGCAGCACAGTTTGTTGAGTTTCCCAGGGGGTCCTGAAGATGGGTTGAGGAACCTGTGCTCCTCTGAAAAATTGCTGGATGACAGCTTCCACCATCCCTGATCATTGGGCCCTGCAGGCTAGGGCTGGGGCAGGGCAGGCAGGGAGGTTGGAACCCAACAACATCTGGACAGCCACAGGTTGCCCATCCTTGCAATAAAGCTTGTTAAAAAGTACTAAAAATTTCGTGGGTAAGAAGCATATGCAATGGGGATCCAAAGCTCAAGGGAAACTCATTTGAAAGTGGAACGAACTTAAACAGTGTTGAAATTAACATGAATGTCACTACGCTTTAGGGCGCTCAACAGACAAATTAGTTGGATTAGATCATTACATTTAAATTTGAATTTTATCAAATATAAAAGCTGCCTTTCTGTGATGTATAAAGGAGGTAAGCTTACAATTCTACAAGCAGTTACCATTTGCTAGAGGGAAGGGCCATTATCATTGCTTCATTCCCCATTACATTGACTGAAGCCGCCAAAACAGACTGAAGAAATAAAAAAGTGTGTTCTAAAATTCAGAGCCCCGACGATTAAGATTTGGTTTAAAAGGAACTTGAGTAGGAGAATGGAGCTCCACATCCCTGGGCAACAATCACAGCCTGCAGAGACACAGTAGTCATAACAGCACAATTCCATGTGCCACAAGGACTTTAAGTCATGATTTTCCGTTTGAACTCTAGTAAGGCTACATAAATGTGCTTCCACACCTGCATATACTAGGAAGACTGTTTTTGCTGATACAGTCTAGGCTAGGGAGTGGCCCTGTTAATGCCTAACAGAGTAATAAAAAAACACACACAAACCAAAGCCTTTTAGCCGCTCCCCTGGCCAACTGTTCAACAAACTCTTTGTGCTGGATACCGGATACTCATAAAGAAAAGAGTATTATGACCCTGAGCAGTTCCTTTACAAAAAAAATAATAATGAGAGAGAATCGTGACAAATCAGTAACGCTAACTACCCACACACCAGATCCCCATTTTATATGAAAGAGGTACACTGATGTATAGTAAGAAGCGAGGCAGAATGCTCACGAGACATGTACAATTGCTTTCATTTTTTTAAAAAAATTGTAGACCGCCGGGTAAACTGAGCAACACACTCCAAACAGGTTTTTAAAAAGAAAGAAAGAAAGAAAGAAAGAAAGAAAGAAAGAAAGAAAGAAAGAAAGCCTTTTGGCGTCGATTTAGTTTCTGAAGTCCTAAATGCAACTTGGGTGATCTCATTCTGACTCAGCAGTATTTTTCCTCCTCCATCTCAAAACACAACAAGGCTAGATGGCTAATAAAGGCAACAACAACAAACTCAAAGGAATTGTGTATTATGCTACTTAAATCAACAGTCAAAGAACTAAAGCAACATGCCAGTTTCAAGGATGCAACCTCTCTCCCTAACTAGCTTTCAAACTCCATGCCTTCTTTTTTTTGTTGTTGGTTCAAAGGCTAAAGCAATGAAATGTGTTTTAGGTCGCTTGGAGCCCTCTGGGTAAGCAGGCGGCTAACAAGTTTAATAAATGATGCTGGTGATAAATAATAATAAAGCAGCACATGGGACATAACTTAAGTTACAGGCAAGAGAGCATCTGCATATGTTAACTTCTGAATGAGCCGCTCTTCTGCATCAAATGATTGCCAATCTCATAGATTTGTTGAAAGGATATGGAGCAGAGGGTTTTGTTGATTCAAACTAAGCAGAACATAAGTAATTCATATTATCAATCATTTTAGGAGGTACGATTAGGAATGGAGCGCTTCCTTTGAAAATGCAAGAGTTTTGCAAACTCCAGCATGGCACCAATCCCACTTTCCTGGAACCATTTCTAAGGACCACAACAGTGTCTTTGCTTCTCCACTTTCAGCAATCCCTTTTGATTGAATGGTTCCCATCAGATTCAAAAGAAGAATCCTTTTAAAAACTTGAACTCATGGAATTTTCGTCAGCCAATCATCTAGACAGAGAAAGTTGCTACTCGAAAGCAAACCTTGATCAGTAGCCACCAAGAGTTTCGTCATCCACGTAATATAACACAGACCAAATATTCACAGCGGACAAGATGATATCACGTTTTTCCAAATCTTCATAG